TGATAGTTGAATAAAACTAAACTTTACTTGATCAAAAGAAAAAAAAACTGATTGCAACACGAATGTTATTTTTCTTACTCCCGTTCGCTGGAACCTTCACCAAACAGGGGTGTCTGCCCAGCTACTTCATAGCATGTTTTTAGATTTACTTTAAGCAGTTGCTCATCTTGTGTTTGAAAAGAATTGCTGTATTTAATGGAGCTGATTGTTGTGGGACAAAATGGGAGTTTGTTTTTGTTGACTTTTATAGTTCATTTTGCTTAGTTTTATGATTTTGACACATGAATTGGTGAATATTTCCTCTGGCAAATTAGGTGAAAAAATGACCTGGCATAAAAGAAATTTTATGTTTGCATATCTCTGGACTAGAGAAGTAGTCACAAACTACAACTGTCTGGAAACATGAAAATAAGAACCTCCCCATTAACATGAGAACTTTGGGCTCCTGCAATGTTAGTTTTGGAGTCCTCGTAAGTACGAAAGGACAGTAGGACTGACTGATCTTCTTTTGTAAATTTGGACCAAGTAGAATTTTATGCTGACGAATCTACTGTTACCAATTTCTGTTATCTGCTTATTCCTTCGTTGAGTAATGCCAAAGTTTCCAAGCAAATGTCATTTTGCCTTTTGTTTTCAGGCTTGAAAATTCGGCTGCAAGTATTGCTGAATCAGTTCAGCATGGTGGCTTACCTGCCACAACTGGTTCTGTTGCACCATCCATACTAGAGGTTTGCATAAGATTTAATTTCATTATTTTTGGGCAGGTGGAGTGTGTTTTAGCCGCTATTTTTATTGTGCACAATTTCTTGCAGACTGGGAAAGCTTTTACTGCTAAAGGAATGCATGTGCTTGAGCTACTTGGAAAAGAAACTATGGATCTTCTGATCTCAGAAACTGGTATTAGAGTTGATTCAGGCTCCAAAGAAGGGGGAGGAGAAACAGATGAAGATCAGTTTTATGAAGAAGTTACATTTGATAGATGCTTTTATATTTATGGAGGTCCCGAGCAATTGGAGGTCAGGTCCTACTCATATTGATCTTTGTACTTGGTTGAGTTTGTTCTGGAAATTCAGTGTCTTATCATGTGAATTACACGCAGGAGTTGGAGGCATTGTCCAACCATTATGCTTTGTTGTTCAACAGAAGAAAAGCGAAGATTCCATCTGATCAAAGGTCTTCGTATGATGGAAAATTTAAAGAGGTTCAAGAGATTTTTGACTTGAGTTCTGAAGCATATGAAAGTGGTAAAGAGTCGGGAAAAGGAAAGGAAGTTGAAACTGGCATTGCAGACAGCACAGATGAGGTGAAGAATTTGCATGATTCTAGTGTGGACAAGGCTGCAGAATTGGCAGCAGGGTAAATATTTAACTTTAATATGCTTTACCTTTTAGTTAATTTTCTTCTACTTTAATATGTTCTGGAGAAATATATGGGAACAAAAGAAAATGCGATTGAGATGTTGACAGTTCATGAATCCAAGCACTAAAGGGCCTGTTTGGATGGACTTGTAAAAATTAACTGATAAGTCAGAAGTCACAATTACATGGTACCCTACTTTTGACTTATTTTTTAAAAAAATTTGGCCTAAAAGTGGATGCTTAAAATACTTTATAACCTTTCCAAACACCTCCAAAACTAAAAAACTACTTAAAAGTCAAAAGACCTAAAAGTAAGTTTATCCAAACGGGCACTAAATTCTTGTGCTTAGTAGAGTGATTATCTTTGAGTTTGTGTCTAGTTGGTAAAAACTGGGATACTGGTGTTAATTTCTGGATTTCATTGAATTGCAGATTTACAAATGTTTTGGTTGGACTAGCTCCTAATGACATGGTTCAAAGGACTGCTCGAAGACTGGATACTCTTCATTCAGAGGGTGTTCATGTATGTAAATTTTTAGTTAGTCTGCAACCTTTTTTTTTAATCAAAGAAACTAGCTTCTTCTTCTTGGGAGTAATGAATTAACTTGACTTCTCACTGATTGTTCTTATGTACATAGAGACTTTCAGAGTTGTGTTGTTTTGCTGCGACTCAACTTGTAATGCTTGGGAAATCAATCATTTCAACTGCAAATAAAGTTGGGGACCAAGATGCAAATGTGGAAATTCTGAAAATGGAATGGCCGGAGGATTCAATTGAAAGAGCTAAGGTAATCCGATCAAAGGCATGTTCAATGACTCGATGTGTTGAAACAGTTTCTTCCAGCTTCATTACAGGTAGATCTTTGTCAAACATATACTTCTATGCATTTATGACTTTTATATTGTTTCTTTATTCCCTTCCTAGTAATTTCATCTGTAGTTCATTGTTTCTGCATCTAATATTGATAGATGACCAACCCATGTATGATCTCTAGTTTGAAAAGATCATCAAACGAAGATCAGAAGCACATGGGTAGGAATTCGAGGATTATTTACAAATAAAGTAGTTTTTATGATTTACGGTACTTTTTGTTTTGCATTTGTTACGGTAATTTAGTTTTTTTAGGTGTTCTCGTAAATATTTTGGAATATAACTATGAGAACTGCGCTGTTTAGTGATTGTTAATTCAACTGATGATGGGGTTTTCTGCTCACGAATTCAAAATTACTGGTCTGATAATGTTGAAATGAGGTGATTGAATTTGTAGAAAGGTTTGCCTTCCTTGAGACTGTTTTGTCTACCCGTGGTATGGATAACACGTTAAGGAACAGTTCAGCTGATTTTTCCTATGGAACATGTTTCCTCATGATATATCTTGTTCTTGGTGTAAAAAGGTTGGGTTAAGTGGATGACGTCTATCTCTCTTAATTAGCTTCGTTATGCCTTTGCAGGGATATCTGAAGTGTCTGAAGCGTATTTAGCAGCAGTGAAGAGTGTATCTGCTGATTCACATGAGGTTCCACAGAAATCAATCCAGGAGAAGGCCAATGCATATGCTGAGAATCTTCGTGCTGCTCATAGCACAGCCATGGGCAAAATTCAGGACGGCCTTCAATATTTACCCTATGTGGTCATCTCAACCTCAATGCCTGCTGCTTGAAGAATTTCTCAATGCAAAATTTCACACTTAGTCCTTCCTCCTTTTAGCTTTCCTTTTGCTCTCGCCCCGCCCTCCTCTCTTTCGTGTAAATAACTGTACTTGGTTAGTTTCCATATCCCTTTATCCCTTTGAGACTTGTAAAATCTGGGAGTGCTGACTTGTGTGATAGACTGATATCTCTATTAACTCTTAGCTACAGAGAGTATACTTTCCTTTCTGTTTTTATCTAAAGGAAATAAATAAATTTTATTTTATTGAAGAATTCAAGCCTTAGCCTTTGATACATCAAACATGAACCTTCTTATTTTTGGCTCTCTTTTGTGAGACGCGTGGACCTATTGCTTTAGTAATAAGTAATTAGAACAGTCGACTAATAAGTAATTAAAATCAAATTTGCAATGCTAAAGAAACAAATGTCTCAAAGTTAAAAGAAGTTGAAAAAATGTCAAATATCAACATATGTCTATATTCAATGTAGCCATTCATCCGTATCGCTATATATCATGTGACAAATTTCACAACACAATTCTCCTCTCACTTGTAACAAAAAAAAAAGAAGAAGAAGAAAGTGAAATATCTATCATGGAAAATATGGATGAATCCTTTTTTCAAGAAACAGAGCACAGGCCAAAACAGAGTACAATTGAGGCAGAAGACATACCCATAATTGATCTCTCTCCCATTCTGACCTCTGATTCTTCAGAAATTACAAATCTTGTTGCACAAATTGGTGATGCATGCAAGAAATGGGGTTTCTTTCAAGTAATCAACCATGGAGTTCCATCTACCTGTCGCCAAAAAATAGAGAGAGCATCAAAGGAATTCTTCTTGCTTCCTACTGAAGAGAAGAGGAAAGTGAGTAGAGATGAAGATAACCCTATGGGGTTTTATGATACAGAGCATACCAAGAATGTTAGGGATTGGAAAGAAGTTTTTGATTTTGTTGTGGAGAATCCAACTCTCTTGCCTGCTTCTCATGAACCCCATGATACGGAGCTCAGGGAACTGAAGAATCAATGGCCTGATTTCCCTAACAATTTCAGGTATTTTGACTGGGCATGGAATTTATGAATCTAGTGGAAAACTTACTAGGGTTAATTTTATTTTCTCCTCATCAATTTTTGTTCCAAACTTACTGGGTGTGCCCCATTTTCCCCCTTTTCAGTTTTTGAGACATCATAGATTGTATCGTATCAATAGGTGCTTTTAGAATTGATTCTATGATCTAATGGAGTAGTTTGGAATTTACAGGGAGGCGTGTGAAGAATATGCTCGAGGCATTGAGAAATTGTCCTACAAGTTGCTAGAATTAATTGCTCTAAGCTTAGGCCTGTCATCCAAAAGGCTGAACAACTACTTTAAGGACCAAACAAGTTTTATGCGATTAAATTACTATCCGCTATGCCCAATTCATCATTTGGCTTTGGGAGTTGGGCGGCACAAGGATCCTGGTGCCCTGACTGTTCTTGCACAAGATGATGTTGGAGGCCTCGAGGTGAAACGCAAGGCAGATGGAGAGTGGATACAAGTGAAACCAACTCCAGATGCTTATATTATCAATGTTGGTGACATAATTCAGGTATGACTACTGTAACAATTCTTGATAGAAAAGCAAAATACTTCCAACTGAGCCAAAAACTTTTCACAGGTTTGGAGCAATGACAGATATGAAAGTGTCGAACATAGGGTGATAGCAAGCTCCAACAAAGAGAGATTCTCCGTTCCATTTTTCTTCAACCCGTCTCACTATGTAATGGTTGAGCCTCTGGAAGAGCTTACGAATGAAGAAAGTCCAGCAAAATACAAGGCTTACAACTGGGGAAAATTTTTCACTACAAGAAACCTTAGCAATTTCAAGAAACTTAATGTTGAGAACATTCAAATATATCACTTTAGAAATGGTGACCTGTAATGACAAATGTAGTGTATGGGAAGTATTATTAAGGTGTTATTTTCAGCTGGAAGGAAATAAAGTGGTGGATTTTTTTCTTGTAAATGATTTGCTTATGTTTCGATAAATTTATCTCTCAGTTTGTCGACTTTCAAACAATACTGGCAATCTCTTTCATCCTTTAGATTGGCGTTACAAACTTAAGTATGTTTTTACCCAAATCTTCTTCTGTTTTTCTCAGTTCGTCTTCCGCTTCTTCTGTTCCCTTTAAAATGCTCTGAATTTGATGGCTTCTGACAGAAGATTAAATTTTCAATGAAATAAATTAATGTTGCGTTCATGAAGTAATTTTTGTGTAGTTGGGAAGTCATGACAACAACTCATTAGCAAGTTCATAACAGTTATCTTCTGCTGTCAACTTTATACCTGAACAAATGACTAATCGCTGCTTCATCAACTTTTCCGTCCCTTGTGAGTGTCGTAAGTACCTCAAATTTTCTCTAAAGAAGATTGTTGTAACAGCCTGCAGGGTCAGCAGCCTGTTCATCATCAGCACCTTAGAGAGTTTGGTTCAAGTGCGGACCCAAACTGTATATACAGGCTAGCCAGTCGACAAGATTCAGAGACATCCCCAGACGTGGTCACAGGTACCTTAAATGTTTTCTCGCATGATCTATACAATTTGATAGACCAGGAGCTATTCTCTCATATATTGATTCACTTGTAACTAAAAAAACATTGAAATACAGTCCAGTAGGAGAGTCTCTCATATTGTGTAGTGACAATATATCACTGAGATACCTAAATAACTTGATTGAACTGGAGAGTGCAAGTATTCGCAACCTGTTTATCTGTACACACAGGTGACTGAGTTGAACAATCAGTCAGAATAATATTCATGTGTTGAAGGGGAAAGAACACACTTGTGCAGCTTTGTTTTCCAGTCATTGTAATATAGTAACGGTAATAAGGGAGATTGATTTTGGTATGGCATTTAGAGTGCCAAACAAAACATTCCATCGCGGTAATGAAAAATCTCCAATCGTCCCAACGAGCGTGTGCCCACTTTGTTAACATCAATTTGTTCTTTGGAACTAATTGATAACAATGACTTTTTTGTGCATCTCTTCTTGTTCTTCAGTCAGACTTTTAAGTCCATACATCCTTACCCTTTATATAATGATTCAACTCATATATTACTTGTTTCCTACATACTTACTTGGCAGCTTTTTTGTTTCCAAAAATAAAGCCAGTTTTACTGATTTTTTTTTTATTTTGGAAAATTAAAAAAAAAAAAACAGTTTTTTTCCCTATGCCAACATAATGGTTTTGTTAGCATTCCTATTACATTTTATTAATATTATAATCAATTATTTTTACAACATTTCATTTTTCGTATTTTATTATATCAAAATAAGTGAATTGTAAATATCAGATTCTGTAATTGAAGAAAATGTAATGGGACGATAAAGTGTTAAAGTAGCCTTATTAAGAAGGCAAACATGCAAATATTAATATGATGAAAATTCAATTTTATATTGAGTTTTGAAGTGCATATCAATGACAAATAGTTTAAGTGATTTACCATTCTCATGTAGTGATTACATTTTACTATTTATTCTTAAATATTTTTTCCCTTAAATATTTTATAGGAGTCATTGTTTAGTATTTGATAAGACTACATTAATAAATTAAACACTTTGAAAGTCTGAATTATTCTCCTAATTTATTATTTAGCCATTATTATAATTAAAGTAAATGATGCATCAACCTGAAAAACATACTAATCTACAAATAAAACTGCTAAGATATTGTTAGAAATTAAAATTAAAAAATTATCTATAATTTTAATTCATCTGAAAATTTTATAGTGATAATTCCAATTTTATATTTAACCATATATTTTATAACATTCAATTTGATATAGAGACAAAATAATAATCCAATTGGAGAATTAGAGTAAGCATTATGAGGAGCATTAAAATAGAAATTCAACTAATTATCAAATTAAAAATTTATGGAGCAGAAAATTAAATAACATGCCGAGAAAAAAAGTGCTACTAACTTATTGTTTAATTAATATTAACAGGAAGAAAAAGAAATTACAACAAATACTTATTATATAATTAATATAATATTTAACTATAGTATATTGACAAACAACAAAATAGTAATCCAGATTTAAGGTTTTGATCTTCCCATTTTTTATTATAAGAATTGTTTTAGATTGAAAGGCAAAATGACTGTTCATTCAACTTCTCAACTTTGGCTATTTAATGTTTAATTAATTAGATATTTATCAATCACAATTTGTTTCTTATATATAAGAAATAAGTATAAGGATTAGAGTGCTGTAAAAAAATAAACATATATTTGTTATTAGAAAAATTATTGAATCACACCTTGTTTTGATGGGTTCGAATGATATTTAGTCATTTTTTATCCATCTTTTCACATATTAATTAATGAAAATATATGAATTTAATGCATTCTCTATTTCATATACAATATTTTACTACTTACTTCTTGTCCTTTTTTCTTTTGCATTCTTACTTCAAGCTCTTTACATCGATATATTAATCAACACAATTTAGCTAGAATAATTTATATGGTAAAAAGTTGTGGACTTATAGAGAAATCGATAACTAACTTACCATCTCCCTCATCATTCTTGCAAGTCGTGAAAAGCTTCAAAGTTCAATCACATAGATATAAATTAATCGTAAATTTGTGGAAGGAAGAAAATCAAATAGATTTTTAGAGTGTGATGATAAGAAAAAGAAGAAAAAACACATAAAGTCAATCAAAAATCAACATTGAATAGTGATATTGACAATTAAAAAGTATAACAAACATATTATCAAAGTAACGATTAATTGCAACAAATAAATTCTTACAAACGAATAGTCTATACAAAAGAGATACAACTACAAACACGTCAAATAACTAAATAGATTGCCTAAGAAAGGAAGGGGTGAAAAAGTTGGAGAAACTTATAAAGAAAAAAAACTTCCCTTCTGATACGTGTAAGACTTCTTATCACCATTTTCAAAAGTTCTATTCCTGAACAGTAGATCGTCTTTAAAACATTTTTCTACTAGACTAACTAAATTTAGATACACTAACATGTGGTTTCAAACACTTGTGCGTTCGACTCTTAATAAAAAACCAAGAGAAGTGCTGAAAATATCTTTAAATTTGACGAGATTTAGGGTGTATTTCACTCTTATTACAAAATCGGAGTGTACTAAAGTTCAATTAGTCGAAGAAGAAAATGGTTTTAACGCGATCATTAGTTCAAAGTTGAAACTAATAATTCACGCCAAATTTAAGAGTGTTTTTATTACTTCTTTTAAAATTTACTTTTCTTAAGATTAAATTTGTGAAAGACTACAAAATCAAATTAAACAAAATTAAGTTCTTTTCTTTTTTCCAAATAATCTCTTGACCATTTAAACAAAATAAAAAGAGCTTTTCATATTTCTAATAATAAAGTTAAAATCAAATTTGCAATGCTAAAGAAATAAATGTCTCAAAGTTAAAAACAACTTGAAAAAATGCCAAATATCAAATATGTCTATATTCAATGTAGCCATTCAGTCTTATCGCTACATACTAGTTCTGAAAACATGCCTTGCACATTTGATCTATGCTATTATTATAATTTATATAGACTCAAGATATAAAATTGCTCGACATTGTCTGAACTACTCCTATATTTTTTTTCGTGCATATAAAATAATTTTTTTTTAGTGTTTACTTTTTGCCTATAACTTAAATATCAACAATTTTTTTGGTGTATGATGAACAACTTGAAAGGCTAGAACTGAGCCCCAAGGCTGAAATTTCTTGGATATAAATATTCTAACAATCATTAAAAATAAAAAAATGAATGAAGGACACAACCAATAAGAAAAATGGTGATCAATAAAAAAATATTACAAGAACTATTAGATTATGTGTTTCTTCAACAACCATGAAAATAAAAAATTAACGACATCACAAATCAATAAACTAAAATAGTGACCAATAAAAAGATACTCCTTACAGAAGAACTATTAGATGATGAAAACAAAGTGTGGCGGATTAATATTATTCAATTTATAAAGGGAGAAATTAAGTACACGAAAGGTTTGTCCATGAATGTATTTAATGGTAGAAGCTAAAAAGTATTAACAATCAAAGTCATTAAGAAATGGAAAATGATAAGTTCTAACATCTAATCATGTATTTAGTCTAGTTTAATTGTCATTATTGATTTAATTTTAAAAATTAGTAAAAAAAATTAATTTTAAAAATTAGCGAAGGACATTTTCGTAATCTAATTGTGAAAGACTACAAAATCAAATTGAACAAAACTAAGTTCTTTTTTTTCCAAATAATTTCTTTGACCATTTAAATAGGAAAAAAAATGAGTTTTTCATATTTCTAATAATAAAATTAAAATCAATTTGCAATGCTAAAGAAACAAATGTCTCAAAGTTAAAAACAACTTGAAAAAATGCCAAATATCAAAATATGTCTATATTCAATGTAGCCATTCAGTCTTATCGCTATATACTAGTTCTGAAAACGTGTCTTGCACATTTGATCTATGTTATTGTTATAATTTATATAGACTCAAGATATAAAATTGCTCGACATTGTCTGAAATACTCTTATATTTTTTTGTGCATATAAAATAAATTTTTTTAGTGTTTACTTTTTGCCTAGAACTTAAATATCAACAATTTTTTTGGTGAATGATGAGCAACTTGGAAGACTAGAACTGAGCCCCAAGGTTGAAATTTCTTGGGATATAAATACTCTAACAATCATTAAAAATAAAAAAAATGAATGAATGACATAAACCAATAAGAAAAATAGTGATCAATAAAAAAATATTACAAGAACTATTAGATTATGTGTTTCTCCAACAATCATGAAAATAAAAAATTAACGACAGCACAAATCAATAAAAAAATAGTGACCAATAAAAAAATACTCCTTACAGAAGAACTATTAGATGATGAAAACAAAGTGTGGTGGATTAATATTATTCAATTTATAAAGGGAGAAATTAAGTACATGAAAAGTTTGTGCATAAATGTATTTAATAGTAGAAGCTAAAAAGTTTTAACAATCAAAGTCATTAAGAAATGAAAAATGATAAGTTCTAACATCTAATCATGTGTTTAGTCTAGTTTAATTGTCATTATTGATTTAATTTTAAAAATTAGTAAAAAAAAATTTAATTTAAAAAATTAGCGAAGGGCATTTTCGTTATATAATTGTGAAAGACTACAAAATCAAAATGAACAAAATTAAGTTCTTTTCTTTTTTCCAAATAATTTCTTTGACCATTTAAATAGAAAAAAAATGAGTTTTTCATATTTCTAATAATAAAATTAAAATCAAATTTGCAATGCTAAAGAAACAAATGTCTCAAAGTTAAAAACAACTTGAAAAAATTTCAAATATCAAATTATGTCTATATTCAATGTAGCCATTCAGTCTTATTGCTATATACTAGTTCTGAAAACATGTTTTGCATATTTGATCAATGTTATTGTTATAATTTATATAGACTCAAGATATAAGATTGTTCGACATTGTCTGAAATACTCCTATATTTTTTTTTGTGCATATAAAATAATTTTTTTTAGTGTTTACTTTTTGCCTAGAACTTAAATATCAACAATTTTTTTGGTAAATAATGAGCAACTTGGAAGACTAGAACTGAGCCCCAAGGCTGAAATTTCTTGGGATATAAATACTCTAACAATCACTAAAAATAAAAAAATGAATGAAGGACACAATGAAGGACACAAACCAATAAGAAAAATAGTGACCAATAAAAAAATATTACAAGAACTATTAGATTATGTGTTTCTCCAACAACCATGAAAATAAAAAATTAACGACAGCACAAATCAATAAAAAAAAAATAGTGACCAATAAAAAGATATTACAAGAACTATTAGATTATGTGTTTCTCCAACAACCATGAAAATAAAAATGAACGAAAGCACAAATCAATAAAAAAAAATAGTGACCAATAAAAAGATACTCCTTACACAAGAACTATTAGATGATGAAAACAAAGTGTGGTGGATTAATATTATTCAATTTATAAATGGAGAAATTAAGTATATGAAAAGTTTGTGCATGAATGTGTTTAATGGTAGAAGCTAAAAAGTTTTAACAATCAAATTCATTAAGAAATGGAAAATGATAAGTTGTAACATCTAATCATATATTTGGTCTAGTTTAATTATCATTATTGATTTAATTTTAAAAATTAGTAAAAAAATTTTTAATTAAATATCACAGGTTTGGAGCAATGACAGATATGAAAGTGCGGAACATAGGGTGATAGCAAGCTCCAAGAAAGAGAGATTCTCCATTGCATTTTTCTTCAACCCGTCTCACTATGTAATGGTTGAGCCTCTGGAGG